AAATCACTGCCATGGAGTCAGATTCAACTCACAGCGACCCCTCCTCCTTGGGTTTCTGACGCAGTACCACTAAGGAAATAGATTGCCCAACCTTCCTTCTGATTAGTGGCTGGTGTGTTTGAACTGCCAGCCTCCTGGTTAGCAGTCAAACACCTTAGGCACTAGGCCACCAGAGCTCCCTAACAACACCCTGTTGTTGTTTGTTGTTATATGCCATCGAGTTGGACCCGAGTCATAGTGACCCCTCCTTGGGTTTCCAAGGCAGTATCACAACACCTAGAGGATTTTAAATACTCCACTTTTATTACGTAAGAAGCTTCTCAGGCTTTACTAGATTTCAAAATAAGCAGAAAAGCAGAGAAAAAGTATATTTTATTGGTATTTAGGCCTAACACAATTCACCTGAAATAAACTGGAACAGAGCAATTTATTAATCTAATTGAATATAACATATCAACATTTTTAAGTTTTTGCCTGTTTTACCATGTGATTGTGTTCATGCAAGTACAAGCATCAAAACTGTCCTTGCAAGCATCTGCTGTAGCACCACCTTTCATCCGCAGTACTTATTTATAAATTTCATTACATATCTAGCTTTAAATGTAAACACAGCTACTACAAGTAAACTTTAAAAGGCAAAAATGAAGTATACTAATGAATAAAATCAAAATATAACTGAGCATCACATGATATAATTAAACAAAACATTATAATACTGTTTCAACAAGGACCTCAACTTAAGTGAGTTTCACAAAAAGGAAGCAGAAATAAAAAAATAGTATGTAAACCCCAAAATAGTGTTAGAACACTGAAAGATAAATGTAAATTTTACCAGAAAAACAAGGGAAAAAGCCAAGCCATGCAGTGAAAGCTAAATTTGCTTCACAATACTAATTTTACTGCAAAGGCTTTTCTAAAATGCACTCTGACAAAATGGTTTATATTTCTCTTTTCCAAAATAATTGCATTGTTTAATCACCTAAGTTGGGTACTCTGTGGGAATTTCACATTTATTATCAGCTGAATGGTTTTCACCTCCAAAAACTTTTCATCTTTAAACTGGTTCTATTTTGCCAAATGAATAAAAACATTAAAGTATCTCCATGAAAATTATTACATATAAAGTCAAATTATCAGAAAAATAAATCTGCCATAACAGAATAGTACAGAAAAAGTATACAAATAAGTGCTGAAAATCACAGAAAAATATTTAATGAAAAAGCAAAATGTTCACATTTATCATTTGTTGATTTTGTTTATTTTCTGGCTAAAATTAAGAAACATTTTTTCAAAAAGTCAGCAAGGGCATTCACTGCAGCTTTAGATTTATCTGCAATATACAAATGAGTTATGTCTCTGTAGTGTAAGGCAGACTCCATTTTTACTCTTAAACATAATTAAATTATAAGGATTTCAAATTTTTAAAACCAGTATAATACTATGGCAATCAAAATGAATTTGTTCTTACTGCTCTCATTAAATTGCAGCTTAACCTAGGAACGTGAACGTTTTTCTGTAAATTGTCTCAAACCATGCTAATACAAGAGTCTAAATATCTGCTGGTTTCCACAGATGAACTGAAAAAGGAAAAATAATGAAATTAAAATATTATTCCATTTTCTTAAGTGTCCTCAATATGTTTAGAAATTCAAGCAGCACTTGACACAGCAAGTTTCTTCAGGTGATCCATAAACACTTGTAAACTAACATCATCTGTGAGAATAGGTGCTCCAGACTCCTAGAGAAAAAAACAATTGCCAAGATTAAAACATAGGATAGTATCTTAGAAAATATAAACAATGTATAAGCAAATACTTAAAAACAGACAAAGAAATAATTTTAAGAAGACTAATGCCTATGCTCCATAACCAACATAACTGTTAAAATAATAAAGCTTTATGTAATTTAATAATAAGGTAATTAATTCATCTTGAATTTACTGGTGCTTTTGTCACTACTAAGGAATAAGCTTCCCTGGGTGAGATTACTGCTGCCTATCACTAAAATAAAATACCAATTGTATGTATGTAATAGAAATGCTGGTTGGAAGAAAGTGATTTTGTAATATTTTTAAAGAAACTGTGCTCAACAGTTGTGAAGTCATTTTAATTATCATGTGGGGTTGTAAGTAAATGACAACAATTAAGGAAAATCCCCAATTTCTATTTTAATAAAAAATGTGTTGACATAATCCAATCCATTAATAATAACATTTTACTGTAGCAAGAAAAAAGTATTTCTAGACAATTTTGTATCTGGATTTTTAAATGTTCTTAACTGACAAATTCTTATTTATATATAAATAATAAAAACATCTAAAACAGGGAAACTACTTTTTAGAAGAGATCAGCAAGTTAGTGACAAACGTGGGTAAGAATTTACAGTTCTTATTTCCAGTCATGCCATTTACCTCTGCAGAATGAAGGCAAATAAATTTTATCACATGTTTGCAGAGGCTAATTCATAAGCACATGAAAAACTTATGAAGGGAGGTAGCAGCACTGGGATTAACAGAATAGTGTCTGGAATCAGACTGCTTGGCCTCAAATCCTGCCTCTGCCACTTACTTCGTATGTCACTCTAGGGAAGTTACTTAACCTATCTTTGTTTCCTCATCTGTAAAGTAAGGATAATAACAGGATCTATCTCACACAGTTGTAATAATTACTGTTGTTAGGTGCCACTGAGTTGACTCTGACTCATAGTGACCTTATGTGTAACAGAGCAAAGCACAGTCTGGCCCTGCACCATCCGCACAGTTGTTGCTGTGGGAGTCACCGCTGCAGCTACTGTGTCAATGTATCTCACTGAGGAGCTCCCTCTTTTTCACTGAACCTCTACTTTACCAAGCATGATGTTCTTCTCCAGCGATTAAATGAGTTAAATTATGTAATGCAATTAGAATGATACCTGGCACACACAGTGGTCACCCAGTATGTTTTCAGCTATTTTTATCACTTTTTGAAAAATCTAGTATAAAATTAACACTGAAATGCTATTCCTAAGTCTACAGTCAGAGTTAACATACATGTATGTTTTCCATCTCAATTCACCCAATCCCAAATGTTTCTCCTAGTCAAGATAAAACAGATAGGGATTTTCTAATCTATATACTGAAGAGATCTTATTTGATCTCTAATGGTCAACTCAATTTTATCAAATATTAGTTGCTGGTTGATCTCAACTTTTTAAATGGCCTCTTTTTTTCTTCAAAATATATCTAGGATTAGGCAGAAAGTTCCAAGCTTTTCATCATTCAGTATCTGAAGCCTCCAGCATCCTGCCATAGAAGCAGTGTGGCAGTGGTGCCCTCTTCAGGCCTTTCAAGATTATTTATCAATAGGAACCTGCTTTCTGACAAAACGAAAACCAAGATATTAATAAGGTATTAATTAATATGCATACATACATATAGATAGATAGATAGACAGATATACAGTGGTCCTGGTGGCGTGGTGCCTAAGGCATTTGACTGCTAACCAGAAGGCCAGTAGTTCAAACCCATCAGCCACTCCACGGAAGGAAGACTGGGCAATCTACTTCTGTAAAGATTTACTACCTCAGGAGCCCAGAGTCGTTATCAACTCGATGACTCGATGGCAGTGAGTTTGGTTTTTATATATATATATATATATATATATATATATCTAAGATATTTATCACTAGGTCCCTACTTTCTGACAAAAAGAAACTAAGATTTTAGAGTAAAATTGCTTGACTACCAAGTTAATTCCCTGTTGTTGTTGTTGTCATGTACCGTCACGTACCGTCGAGTCAGATCCAACTCCTACAGACCCCTCCTTGGGTTTCCGAGGCAGTATCACTACGGAAGTAGATTGCCCCATTTTCCTTCCAAAGAGTGGCTGGTGGGTTTGAACCGCCAGCCTTCTGGTTAGCAGTCAAGTGCCTTAGGCACTATGCTACCAGAGCTCCCAGTTAATTCCCTAAACTATAATAATTAAGTTAGCTCACTGATTAAAACTTCATATTCTGGATCAGGCTGGCCTGGGCAGAAATGTGGTCCTCACCAGAGTTTAGTCATGTGATTATATATGTAAGTTAAATGAGAGTGCACTAAAAGCCTGGCATACTGACTAAAACACAGCTGGGTTTCAATTTAATAGTTATCATTTTTATGATAATTACCTATAAAAATGTTAACATGATTTCTACAAAATCATAGGTCAAGAAAGACCTTAATACTCATCTTGTTTATGCCCCTAATACTTCCTTCTTACAGGAAGTAATAATTGATCTTCAAAGTTACCTTTCTTTTAAATATCCTCACACAGACTTTTTTCCCACTGACAATAATGAAAACTAATAGCTAATATTCACTGCGCATAATACACAAAACGTTGTAGACAAGGAAGCTAAGGTGAAGAGAAGTAAAGTAACTTGCTCAGGGTTAGCAGGTAAGAGACCCAGATTTTATCAGACTGCTTGGCACCAGAAGTCTGCATTCTCAACTACCATCATCTCCTGTTGATTTCTCACCATAGTCTAACAGCTGTTTTTTTTTTTTTTTTTTTTAATCTGTTTCTAGTCCTTAATTCCAGCTCCTGCCACCATTAGCAAAAAGTCTCTTAGAACTGCAAAGAAACAGGCTAAATATCCAATGTGAGCTTTCTTTCCACCTCACAATCATCCTGTATTTTCACCCTCCTCTCACCCTTTGCTTCGGCAAAAAGAAATGCCCCACCTCCTTATGAATGCTTAGCCCCCATATGGTGCTTTTGAACATGTCTTCTTTCTGAGATGTTAAACAATCATAACCTTTTGCTTTGTGTCTCCCCACACTGGTCTTACACTCGGCCTACAAATAAGTTCTGTGCCCTTATTCTAATAACACCATCCTTCTACTATTCATCCTACGGCTAATTTGCAAAAGAATCATTCATATGTATGGCATTTATCTACTTCTTTACCACCCACTAATTCCTTTCTATCCATCTTCTACTCCACCACTTACTAAAACTGCACTAACCACCTTTTATCAGTTTCCATCCTCCTTCACGTGTTGGCAGCATTTCATTGTTGGTTACCCTCTTCTTCTTCCTTCTCTAAAGTCCTCCCTCATTTTTTATGTCATGGTATTCTTATTCTTCCTCTAACTCTGTATTATATATAAAATATTCCTACCACTTGTACTTCCTCAAGTTTTTGTCTCATCTCTTTGCCCCTCTACTTCTCCACTCTCCTCAAACAAGCATCTACTCTGATGACTTTAAATACCACCTATAATCAACGTTCACATTCTTGCTCAGATCACCAGACCTACATTTCTGATACCCTACAATAAGGCCATCCAGATGATACCTCAAACTCAAGTGTCTAAAATCAAACATTTTCTCTCCACCCTCCTACTTACTGGCATGCATTCTCCTAGTCACCCAGACTCAAAAATCCTGGATTCATTTCCTCCCTTAACTATTTATTTTTCAAAAATTCAAACCTGCAAAAAAAATTGAAGTACAATGGATATCTGCATGACCTACACCTAGATTGACTGTGAACATTTTGTTACATTTGCTTTAATGTTCTTTTAATATTTTTTTCCTTCTCTTTCTTCTTTTTGTTGAAGAAGAAAGTTAAAGATATCATGACATTTCACTTCTAAATACCTCAAGATGTATCTCCTAAGATTAAAACCCATCTACTACCTAACTCTTATCTCTACTACTACACCACAAGCTCTTCAAAGGTAGGGATGATCGTGATGTATCCTGAAGTTCCAAAGTACTATATCACACTCATGAAATTTAATAGTACTGTACTAGTTACCTAATACATAGTCTATATTTAGACTTATTTAGATTTCACAAATTGCCCCAATTATGTCCTTTATAGCTATTGTCCTCTCTCCAATCTTAAGATCCAATTAACATTCAAATACTGCATTTTGTTGTCATACCCTGGATTAGCTTTTGATTTCTCCTCATACTTTCCCACCAACTTCTAATAAAGTCCCAATGAGTCTACTCTTAAATATCTCTCATATCTATTCCTTCCTTTCATCACCTCACCTTCTTTTTTGTCTCATTTGGATTGTTTCAATAGATTCCATTTCAATCTATACACTGTTCCCAATCTCAAAACTCAACTATTCTCTAACTCTCAACTTTGCCGCACTGCCCAAAAACCTTCAACAGCTCTCTATTATTTACCAAAGGCACAACTCCTCTGTCCTCAATCTAGCGTTCAAGATCTCCCATGATTTGGCTGCACAGTGCATTTCCAGTCTTATCTTTGTCTGTTCAGCCTTAATATGTACTCTATACATTTGCCCAGGCTATCTTCTGCCTAGAATTCCACTCCCCATGCAATTTTCATCAACTTTTGAAATAATCATCAACTCAAAAGCACCTAATAACGGGGTAATAGTGTACCCTTTCTGAACTCTTTTCTGATCACACACTCCCTATTCCTGCTGCCACCATGTGACGTCTTTCTCTCTTCCTCTTCTAACTCCCTATAATACATTATATCTTTCTTATGGCATATTTTCCATTTTGACCTGCATTTTAATTATTTAGGTGTCTATCTGATCTCTAATACTAGACCACAAGTTCTTCAAAGGCAGGGATGATCATGATGCATCCTGAAGTTTCAAAGAACTTTCATATAGAGTCATACAGATGTTGGATACTTGATAAATGTTGACATATTATACCAAACGGTAGGATTTCCACCAAATTAAAACATATCAATTTCCAGGCTTCCTACCCCTAATGCTCAACTATATTCCCTAGTGCTTCGTGGCATTAAGCTTAAACTATTACTTCCAATCTTACATTATACGCTTTTATTGCTTTTCATCTCAGGATGTAATGCTAAACTTGGAATATGAAGGAGCTCTGTCTATTTCATATGATCACATTTTTATTTTCCACAGTGCCACCAAATACTAATTCTATTTTCTACTCTTATTTTTCCAAGACAAATCATTACTAAATATGTAGGGGAAAAATGTAGCTCTCACTATAATAACTAACTATAAATACATGAAAAAATAATTTCCAACATCTGCTATTTACACATACCTGTCCCCAGGCATACATATTATTATGAGTCTGTGAAGGGTTGACTTTTGAAAGCAGGAAACGGGCCTTAAAAGCAAAGAAGAAATAACATTATCCATCAAAAATAGATTTAAGCTAAATGAATACATTATGTTATCTAAAATCAATTTACTTTAAAATGTTTTGATAAAATATTTTGCTAAAATGTAACTTTTAAAAATATGAACTAAATTTTGAAGCATCTATGCCACATATTTATGTTACAAGTGAATATTAAGTGAACTTTCTGCTTTCCAAATTACACATTCCTAATAATAAACTGTTGAGTTCCAAACTCAATATAAAACTTAATGTGCAACAATTACATCAAACTTAGTGTGAAATTTACGGATTTGAAATATCATCAGAAGTTCAAAATTCCAAATACAGGTACTCCCTGGGTTATAAACAAGATCTGTTCCTAGCTGTGTCTTTAAGAATTTATAGGCAAGTCAGACCAGGTACATAAGCTTCTTATTTAGCCTTACTTTAGTGCAAGGAAATGCAAAGCCTTTTTACTGATTTAAAACTTGCACATGCAGCAAGTGCTTTTTGTGATGAAGAATTTGCTGACAGTAGGGGCTGGTTCAATTGTTTCAAAGTGAGGGTAAATTTACATAATATCAAAAGACAAGCAGAAGTTGTTTACAAGTCATTTGTAACCAAGGGACTATCTGTAAGGATAAAAATAAAAACCATGAATGCCTCCTTTGCCACGAGACCAGAAAAACTGGATGGGGTTCAGCTACCACCACTGAAGATTTTGATCAAAGATTCTATGGAATAGTCCTGATCAAAAGGGGCAAAATGCAGAACAGAATTTCAAATTCTTATTTGACTCCAGAATTTCTGGAGCCATGAAAGCTAAATGAACCCCTGAAACTATTGTCCTGAAATAATCTTTAAACCTTAAACCAAAAATAACCCCTGAAGTCTTCTTAAAACCAAATAGTTTGGCTTAACTAGTAAAATAATGTCTACTCTGTGTCCTGGTGTCTTGGCAGCTCTGCATTACATTTGGTGCCGAAACCCAGGAAGAGGAGTAGAACTTGAAGGAATTCTTATTCCCCTTCTCCCTCTTCCCTCCGGACAATAATGTCTGGCTGGAGCATTATGCTCCTGTAAGAACTATCTAATGGGATCAAATACACAACTGCAACTGCAAAGATTAGACAGGAATCTTAGGAAGCAATCAGTTTATATTAATGAAAAGAATGGTGAGAATGGTTGCACAACTTGAAGAATGTTACTAATCAATGTTACCAAATTTATACACTGAGAAACTGCTGGATTAGTGTATGTTTTGCTGTGTATATTCTCAACAACAGCGACAAAATAAATAAAAACTATGAAAATATACATATTCTTTAAACAATGACTCAAACTTTTTTAAACTGTAAGTTATTTCCATGAGACAAATTTCTTCAACAATTTACCTGTATCCCTACTATGCCTTTTATCATGAAAATAATTTAAGAGAAATGTAACACTGTATATGATGAGACCTCAATGGGAGAACCAATCATAAATTATTTCATATTAGAAAAACAAGCAGCCACATCTTTTGAAATTTACTATCACAATTTTTTTTTCTATTTTACAAGCAAGTAGTTTAGCACAGTACTTTAGTCCAGAGTAGTGGCTCTGGTGTCAGAACCCCTGGATTCAAATGCCAGCTCCCCATTTACTGTGTTTCCTTGGCCAAGACTCTTAGCCTTAGGCCAAGACTCTTAGCCTTAGGCCAAGACTCTTAGCCTTAGTCTCAGTTTTATTATCTACTAAGTGGAAATAACAATAGAGCTTTTATGAGGGCCAAATAAGATAAGGCATATAAAGTGCTAATTATATACTTTACAAACTTTCAATAACAGTTCCTATCATAAATACAGTAAAATCCTAATAATAATTGCTATCATTTCTGAATAACAGTTACCGATACTTGTTATTGTTACCTACTAGTAATACTGTGCTTTTAAATAGGTATACAGCAATAAACATAGCATGATCCCTGCCTTCAAGGAGCAGGTGAAATAAATTTCTAAAACTTCTAATTAATTTATTATAACTGTTAAAAATTAGAAGAGAGAAGCAGAGTGTTATAAGAGTGTACGGTAAAGGGACTGCAGTGTAGTAAGTTATATGGTGTGGCTTTTCCAGCCAGAATCTTTCAGAATCTTTGTAAACTCAGTGGTAGAATTTGCCATGAGTTGCTCCTGATTGTTGAAGTTATCCACCTGGGATATTTCTGTTGGGAGCAGCAGCAAGTAATTTTCTGGGAAGTTCTCTCTCTCTCAGGTGTGTAGAACTCTGATGTTGGGATTGGTTAGTTTTGGCCACTCTGCCAGCCTCAGAAGGAACCCACCTAGAGGCAGAAGGATTCTCTCTGACTGCCAGCTGAGAAAGACATGTTGCTGAGAGAGAGACAGCAGACATGAGACATGAGAGACATGCACTGCTGAGAGAAAGACATGCTACTGAGAGAGACTGTTGGCTGAGAGACGGCCAGCTGAGAGAGACTGAGTGCATTCCTGAACTTGAATTGTGGCCTGTTGCTTCCCTAATAAACCCCATAATCTTTGAGTTCTGTGTGGCCACTGCAGTGAATTATCGAACCCAGTAAAGAAGTGGTGGTTGCCATGGGAGGAATGATTGGTGTCAAGGTTAGGAAGAGGGCTGGAGGGCAGCAGCATGTCTGGCCTCATAGGAGCACTGGGCTGCTGATGGTGATTCTATCCTCCTCTTGTGCAGTTAGAGGAAGTGAGAAGATGCTGCCTCCCTGTCCCCTTTGCAGGGACCTAACCTAGCTTTAAGAGTTCAAAAGGGCTGTGTGTGCACACATGTATCTTATTTAATCTTCACAATTCTAAAAACCACAAAGCCTGCCTTCTTTTATAAAACCATCCCATACGAAGAACTAGATGGTGCCCAGCTACCACTGCCATCCACTTGGAAGGGATGTAGGAGATCCTGCATAAAGAGGGAGAACAATGTGGTACAAAAC